ATCAACCAATCAACCAGCCAATGTCAACCAGCCAGACAACGTCAACCAGTCAGACAACGTCAACCAACCAACCAGTGTCCACCAATCAACCACTGAAAACCAACCAATCACTGTCAACCAACCAACCAGAACCACTGAAAACCAACGACAACGTCAACCAACCAACCAACCAGTGTCCACCAATCAACCACTGAAAACCAACCAATCACTGTCAACCAACCAACCAGCCAATGTCAACCAGTCAGACAACCAACCAATCAGAGGCATCCAGACAAACACGAAGAGAGAAAATCATGATCCATTAACTATTGAAAACAACAGGTTATCTATTTTTATTAAAAGTTTACTCTCTCTCTCTCTCTCTCTCTCTTTCTCTCTCTCTCTCTCTCACACACACACACACACAGCTGGCCTGCTGTCTGACGTGGAAGCAGCTTCTGAACGTTCTCCTCGGCCTTTGTTCCTCACGTGTCAGTTCGCCTCCCTGGAGCAGCACAGCATGTGTCCGTCATCCTGTTCTACCTTCTGAACTTCCTCTTCTCTTCTTCCTCATCATTAAGAACACAAACATGTAAGTGGTGAGGAGGAGGTGGAGGAGGAGGAGGAGGAGGAAGAAGGTAACCTGTCTAATCTCTGTCATGTGCTCTCGGCTTCAAACGCGACCAAGACTCACGTGCCTGAAACACTGAGGCTCGTGCACGTTCCCCCCGACGTCCTGATGAATGAGAGGTGGAATGAAAAGAACCATTATTCAGGTTCCCGTCTGCGGGAACACACTGCGTCTCCATTCCTTACCTCCTGAAGCTCCTCTCGCTGTGCTCCGGCTCGGCTCGTCGGGCCTGTGAATGCAGCCTTTCTTCCTTGGCCTCACTCTGTCATCGCAACAGTTGGAGCTGCTATGTGATTGTTCAAGGTCGCAGCAGAGGTGAGGAAGAGGAGGAGGAGGGTGGTTTTATTTTCTGCCTGCCATGTTTGCGTACAAAGGTAACCTGGTTGTTGGTGAGGAACCAGGAACCAGGAACCAGGATCTGTTATTGGACCAACGATCAACAATCGTTACCTCAGAGGAACCAGGTGTTTGGAAAAACATCAGTGACTTCAGGACGTGAGACAGGGGACAGGATCAGAGGTGGGACCAAGTCATTGCTTTGCAAGTCACGAGCAAGTCCCAAGTCTTTGCACTCAAGTCCGAATCAAGTCTCAAGTCAAAATAGGCAAAGTCTGAGTCGAATCCAAGTCAAGACTGAAAAGTGTCAAGTCAAGTCCCAAGTCCTGCCGTTTCTGTTTCGAGTCCTTTTTCGAGTCCTTCCACTCACTGCCACTCCTTTTTTGTTGACCATCTCGTAGTTTTTAAACCCGAACAACACGATCTTTGGTCTCATCAGTTGTCTCATTTTCGCGCATTGTTCGACAGCTCTTTCTCATCAGTTGTCCCGCAATTTGATTGGCCAACGTTTTATTTTGGATGTTGTTTGGATGTACGATTGGATGTTGTGCCCGACAGCACACACGTACACAATGAGAGATACACAGCGCTCCTCAATAACTTACTTTATAATCTTTGGGTTTTTGGAGAAAGTATCAAGTCTTGTCTAGTCAAAGGGCTCGAGTCCAAGTGAAGTCACGAGTCATTGATGTTAAAGTCCAAGTCGAGTTCCAAGTCTCTTTACATTTGGTCAAGTCGAGTCAAAAAAGTCATCAAATTGATGACCCGAGTCGGACTCGAGTCCAAGTACATTGAACTTTTAAACACAGTGTAGGACCTGAACTTTCATGTACATTGAACTTTTTTTCATGAAATCTTTCAAACACAGTGTAGGACCTGAACTTTCATAACCTTTACCGGACACAGATTACGCTGTCCTCATTGTTATTATCAACAGTTCCATGTACTGACTAATGACAGGGACAGTTCCTGGCACTGACTGGTTCCTTATACCAGCAAATAAACCTGGCCCTCAGACTTTGTAGGTCTCTGAGTATTACTATGGGGGCCTCACAGCTCTGCAGTTCATATCCTCCTATCCACAGTGTAGTGGCGGTGGGTTGTGGGAGGGGAGTGGGGGGGGCAGAAGGCCCCCTGGTGTTTTACAGTAGTATAAAAGAGTCCAGTGTTTCTGTTGCTGTCTATCCTTAGATTATAACAGCAAGTGATGAACAGATGAGGAGGAGGAGGGAGGAAGAAGAGAGAGGGGCAAGGAGAGATATTCCAATACCATGAACCATGTCCTCAGAGGTGAGGAGTCTCAAACCATGTCTTCAGAGGTCACGAGACACAGACCCGGTCGTCAGAGGTGAGGAGACACGGGCTACGTCCTCAGAGGTTCAGACGCTGACAGGAGCTGATGGAAAGATAATACACTATCGCGATGCTAATAATCAGGAGCTTACGGAGCATGGGAAAAATGTCAGGAATGCTAATGATCGCTAATAGAGGTGATGTCCTGGTGATGCAGACGGAGAGACACATTCTCTGTGGAACAAAACAGGCACAGGATAAGACAGGATTCAGTGTTTGGACAACCTCCTAGACAAGCTGAAGACAGAGCTTTACATGATTGGCTGGTAGTCAGATGTTGTTTTATCAGAAACATCAGTCGCTCTTCATAGTTTCTCATTTTGTCTTTCCTCCCCTCAAATTCCCTTGTTTTCACTGCTGTCCTCTGTTCTCGTCTCCTCGCCTGTCGTTTCCCTGACGTCTCACCAGAAGCAACGCTAACTACCCAGATAAACATTGTTCTTGTTACTACTTCCAGCAGTAATATTGTAATTTCTTGGTGATACTTTTCTCGGCCATTTGCCAAAATGTTCCTTTTCCTAGAGTGGATCATCGTAAGTTTAGCTATCGCAACTGTCTATCAACTGTATGTGCTTGTTCGCTTCAGTACACTTACATTATTGCACAGAAGCCTGCATTGTTGATTCTGAAGGCTTCGGGCAGATTTCATACAGCCTGGCAACAGCTAGCTGAATTCTGATTGGATAAAAACTCTAACCTTAAAAACAACAACACCGGAAGGAGCCTAATGTGACATGAAGAGAACATGAAGAATATGCAGTGTGCTTTTATGTATTTAGGAAAAGTAAATTAAAAAATTAAATGAACTTTTATCAACTTATGATCGTGATTTATGACGGCCCACCACTGGTTAAAAAGTTCGGTAAAATATGTTATACTGTAGCTGGAAACTTCAGAACAGCAGGGAAAATGATGCAACGTTAACTGTAAAATTCAATTGAAGTCTAAAAAACATCTGTGTGTGTGTGTGTGTTTCTGTGTGTTTGCATGATTGTGTGTCTGTGTAAGTGTGCATTGAGGTATGTGTGTGTGAGTGTGTGTTGACAGTCAACAGTAGGATGTGAAGGTCAGTAAAATCTTCTGTAGGTCAAACACAAGCAGTAGTCCTGAAAAAAGTGACTTTATTAGACCAAAGTCCATGGAGAAAATCAGGGATTTTAGCTCACAGACCAAAGTCCATAGAGAAAATCAATGATTTTAGCTCTAGACCAAAGTCCATAGAGAAAATCAATGATTTTAGCTCTAGACCAAAGTCCATAGAGAAAATCAGTGATTTTAGCTCACAGACCAAAGTCCATAGAGAAAATCAGTGATTTTAGCTCACAGACCAAAGTCCATAGAGAAAATCAGTGATTTTAGCTCACAGACCAAAGTCCATAGAGAAAATCAGTGATTTTAGCTCACAGACCAAAGTCCATAGAGAAAATCAGTGATTTTAGCTCACAGACCAAAGTCCATAGAGAAAATCAGTGATTTTAGCTCACAGACCAAAGTCCATAGAGAAAATCAGTGATTTTAGCTCACAGACCAAAGTCCATAGAGAAAATCAGTGATTTTAGCTCACAGACCAAAGTCCATAGAGAAAATCAGTGATTTTAGCTCACAGACCAAAGTCCATAGAGAAAATCAGTGATTTTAGCTCACAGACCAAAGTCCATAGAGAAAATCAGTGATTTTAGCTCACAGACCAAAGTCCATAGAGAAAATCAGTGATTTTAGCTCACAGACCAAAGTCCATAGAGAAAATCAGTGATTTTAGCTCACAGACCAAAGTCCATAGAGAAAATCAGTGATTTTAGCTCACAGACCAAAGTCCATAGAGAAAATCAGTGATTTTAGCTCACAGACCAAAGTCCATAGAGAAAATCAGTGATTTTAGCTCACAGACCAAAGTCCATAGAGAAAATCAGTGATTTTAGCTCACAGACCAAAGTCCATAGAGAAAATCAGTGATTTTAGCTCACAGACCAAAGTCCATAGAGAAAATCAGTGATTTTAGCTCACAGACCAAAGTCCATAGAGAAAATCAGTGATTTTAGCTCACAGACCAAAGTCCATAGAGAAAATCAGTGATTTTAGCTCACAGACCAAAGTCCATAGAGAAAATCAGTGATTTTAGCTCACAGCAAAGTCCATAGAGAAAATCACTGATTTTAGCTCACAGACCAACGTCCATAGAGAAAATCAGTGATTTTAACTCACAGACCAAAGTCCATAGAGAAAGTGTGTTCATTTAAGACCATCATCTTTCTGTTGTTTTTCCAATGCTGTGTAACCTTTAGCTGTTTGAACTTGTGAATTGTTCAGTGTGTAATTTTGGCCAAAATGTGTTTTTTTTTTAACTGGCTGATTTCAGATCTGTTCATCTCCCTTATTTCAGAAAGTTTTTATTCCATCTACCTGTCTGAGCTTGGTCCCTTTCAGTACCAGGACCTCTAGTGTCCTACTCTTGTGCACCTCCTGCTGGCTTACACACTACTACACTTGCAATACCAAGGACCCAGATAAACATTGTTCTTGTTACTACTTCCAGCAGTAATATTGTAATTTCTTGGTGATACTTTTCTCGGCCATTTGCCAAAATGTTCCTTTTCCTAGAGTGGATTATCGTAAGTTTAGCTATCGCAACTGTCTATCAACTGTATGTGCTTGTTCGCTTCAGTACACTTACATTATTGCACAGAAGCCTGCATGTGGCAAGGAGAGGCAAAATATTAAAACATTTGAGATACGAAACTCTTGAGATACGAGTATAATCTGTTCCAGGACTGAGCTCGTAACTGGAGGTGCTCGTATCTCACATCATTTTTTTTCCATAAGAAATAACAGAAAGAAAACTAATCCGTACCAGCCCTCTAAAGAAAACTACATAAAGTAACTTACATAAACTTAGAATTAACTTTTTTTTTTTTACTTTAGGATGGTACACATCGTGGATGTACTGCAATCATACATGCGTACCCGATCACTCACACGGGCGCCACGCTCATATTTATTGACTGGCCACCATCCCTACCGCTCGCTTTCTTAGGACGCATCACTGCATTATGAAGACTAATGTACAAAATTAGAGAGAAAATCAACGTAAATAACAAAATCCGGAAGACTCGCGGGAGATGCGTCGACAAACGCGTGAAGTGACAAAAAAAGGGAAAACCTCACCGAGCGACAGCCTCCAGCTTTAAAATGAATTTTAATGTACTACTAGATTATGCTATTATTATTAGTTATAATAGTAACTAATAATAATAATAATAATAATAATAGTATTATTATTATTATTATTATAGTATTATTATTATTATTATTATTATAGTATTATTATTATTAGTAGTAGTAGTAGTAGTAGATTATCCTACTGCTGTGTCACCTGACAAACCCTCATGACACTTTGACCTTCATGACCTTTAGGTTTTATTTAAAATCAGTCCTTTCATTGTATTTTCTCCTGCCTTTTTTCACGATAACAACTGGGGATTATTGTCCACAGGAAACAGGTCTGGGCAGCAGGGAAAGGTCACGACCTGTGCCTAAACTCTGAGGAGTGTAAGAAAGTGGAGGAAGCCGACTTGTCTTGAACCGAGGAGTTGACTTCAGGGTGGTCTCTGTGTGAGGAGGTGGGAGTGTAGGAGGACTG